ACAGAGAAGGCCCTCCCCCTGGGGGTCGCCAGCCGACACTGCTTGGCCGACGGCACCCTGAGGAGGCCCGCTCTGTGGGAGCGTACCGGTCTGTGAGAGGGGATCTGTGGCAGAAGGCGGTCTCGGAGATATCCAGGCCCGATGCCATGGAGCGCTTTAAAGGTGGTAACTAACACCTTAAAGCGCACCCGGAAAGCCAGTACCCAAACGAGTAAGTAACATCATCAGATCAGTGCTCCTTCAACTGCCTAAAAAGGCCTCAAGAATTTTTTTTTCTGTATTGAAACACACCTATTATCACCAGGAGGACTAACGGGAAGTTTATTCAGAGATTTTCGACGGCACGGAGTACCTTTAAACTTTTTTTTTTTTCCTTCTGGTAAGATTTAATAAATTAACCGCAACTACACGCGATACATATATTTGCATAACCGATATCTCTTAGGAATATCCGTACACACGAGCCGTAAATTTCCCCTCGTCCTTTCCTCTTCTTGGAAACGAGGTCAAATAAATCCGCGCCCCCGCTATCTCAAAACGCCGAGCAAAGTTCGGCCGCGCTCAGCTCCGGCCAAGACGGGAAAGCGGTTCGCTCTTGCGATGGTGGAAGCGGGCCAGCCTACCCTGGAGCGCCGCCTCGGAGCAAACAAAGCCGGGCGAGGCCTCGCCAAGGGGGCGGACGGGCGTTTCCTACCCCGAAACCGGACGAGCCCGCTGGGCAAGGACTTCCCCAAGTTGCAATCGCCGCCGCGGGCAAGGCAGTCGAGGAAGCGCCCAGCCCCGCGAACTGGCCGAAGGGGGCGCCGGCGCTCCGGGCTTCTTCTCGGAAGTCCGCAGAATTTAAAGTTTTGGGCCTGGTTGGTTTGTTGCGTCTGGGGCATCGCCCGCCCTCGCGAACTGCGGGGCCAGCCCGGTTGCTTTATGATTCAGCGTGGCAGGGGTAGGCAACCTCGGCTCTTTTATTATGACTCGTGGACTTCAACTCCCAGAATTCCTGAGCCAGCTATGCTGGCTCAGGAATTCTGGGAGTTGAAGTCCACGAGTCATAAAAGACCCGAGGTTGCCTACCCCTGGCTTGTGGGGTAAACCTAGATCAGGGGTAGGCAAGCTTGGCTCTTTTATGACTCATGGACTTCAACTCCCAGAATTCCTGAGTCAGCCATGCTGACTCAGGAATTCTGGGAGTTGAAGTCCACGAGTCATAAAAGAGCCGCGGTTGCCTACCCCTGACCGAGATCATGGCTGGCCGCGTTGGGTCGAACCCAAAGGTTGAATTGAACCGCTTTTTTGCGTTTGCACGAAANTAATAATAATAATAATAATAATAATAATAATAATAATAATAATAATAATAATAAAGTTGGAAGGGACCTCGGAGGTCATCTAGTCCAACCCCCTGCTCAGGCAGGAAACCCTATACCATTTCGGACAAATGGCTGTCCAGTTTCTTCTTAAAAACTTCCAGTGTTGGCGTTATTGCACGCCACACCACCAACCTCCCCCCGCCGCCCCAAAATAAGCAAGATTGGAACTAGTGAAGCTCTTCAACGGGTGCGCGCAGCCCGCTAGGTTTCTCAATGACCCGGTTAAAAGTCTGGTGTGAACTCGGGTTAATTCAGTTACCAGGTTAAGTAGACGCACCATCCGTCGCGCCGTACTGTAAACACGCGCGCTCTGCTGTAATGTACAGTCTATGCCGCCTTTCAGTCTTTCCCAATCGGATTCCAGAATTCCCATTCATAGGCTGGGGGTTGCGATAGTTGGAAATGCAGCTCCTCTGGATTTGGGACCCCCCCTTCCCCCATCGTCCACTATAAACCCCTGGATTCATGAGAGCACCCAGTTCTCTTACTCAAACGCCCCCACTTTGGGGAGATCTATATATTCTACTTCTGGTTTAAACTCCAGCCATCATTTGTCCCTGCAAGAGAAATTATATATATATATATATATGCAAAAGTCTCTCCACTTTTCATGGCGATGTTCTACTGGGGCGTCTTCGGGTCGCCAGTGTTTCACCTGGCCTACCTCGAAGGGACATTGTTGGGATCATAAAATGCTCGTTGCGTAAGGAAGCGGGGTAAAACCTGGCAGGGATATATTTTCAGAGGAGTAAGCTCACTGACGCGCAGCGGTACTTCCTGGATAAGTCAACATAAACTTGCATGCTTTTCCTCTGTAAATTGGGGGGAAAAAGATTCGTCCTTTCAAACTGCCTCCGCCTCTACAGCTGTGGAATTTAGCAAAGCTGGAAACTGCAAGGGCGTGTATTTTCCTCCACGTGATCAGTCGGAAGTAGGTTTGCTCCGTAGAGATAAACAAAAAGCACATAAAAAGTGAACTTCTTCATTCATTTCGCTCCGTTTTCAAAGTTGGAAAGAAGGGGAAACTCTATGGAACGCAGGGAGGAAATCCAGAATGCTTTTGTGCGATATAAGCGAATCACCAAAACGAGAGGGAGAGAAACAGAACACAAAACGTTCTGTAAACATTTTGCATTTTCTGCACGTAATGTTTAATGCTTAACATTATGGAATATAATGCTAACAATACAGGCTCTCACAAATAAGATCTCTCGTCCATATATTGTAGGAAAGCATTGAATAGCTTACCACATCTCTGCAAAAAAAATAATAACAATAATCAGGAGTCTGGCAGCACCTTTCCCAGCTCACCAATTTTATTGAAAAGCATGTTTTCATGAGCAGCAGTTGACTTTACCTGACGTACAGAAGTGAACTACCGCTCGCAAAAGCTGATAACCCCATTAAACTCGACCATCATTTATTGGAATTTCCTCTTGGTGTCCCATCCAGCTTCTAACCGGTTCTGATTTCCCTTTTCTGAAAACCTTCCAGTTGATCTCAGGTGACTTCACGGAAACGCCCTTTAACATTTCTCAGCCACAGCTCAGCCATCGAGAACTTTCTTCTGACTTCCGGCCGAGCCTCCCATGCCGGGATCTCCCGGTGGTCTCCCTTCCGAGCCCCCTCCCCTCCCCTTGCAGGATCAGGCGAGGAGGCCCCTCCCTCCGCCTCTCCCTTTCTAACTCTAGGGCCGGCCTGCGTGCGTGCGTGATGACGTAGCGAGCGGCAGAGGCGGGGCCAGCTGTTGGCGCTGTCAAGCCGAGCGCGCGGGGGGCGGCGGAGAACACCGAAGAGGCGCTGGCAGGTAACGGGCCGTGAGGGGGGGGAGGGAGAGGGCGCTGGGGGCTGAGGCGCTAAGCGGGGGCCCCAAAAGCCAAGGACGCGGAGGAACTATCGGAGTGGCGACGGCCGACGCCGCCCTTCCCGGAGGCCGGGACGGTCGTCCAGGCCGGAGAGTCCTTGAAAGCGACGCCGCTCGGGATGGAACGGCGGAGGGGTGGGCGAGCGGGCAGTCAGTCAGTCAGTCAGACCCCGCGCGCCTTCTCGACTTCCCTGCGCATGCGCCGCTCCGCCGTCCTGCCCCCCCCCTCCCCTTCCATTTGGGAGCAATGCCGGCCGGCCGGCTGGCTGGCTGACTCAAGTTGGCTTCTTCCGCCTTTGCCAGCCCCGGGCCGGTCTCCTTTCCTCGGGGCCTCTCGGGTGGGCCAGTTTCTGGGCGGAGGACTCGCTTAGGAACGAAATGGAGCTCGAAGGGAGCCGAGAAGTCCCCCTTGTCCTGTTCCCCTTCTTATGAATGAAAGTCGGGGGGGGGGGAAGGAAGCAGCCAAGCTAGCAATTAGACCTGTTTGAAGTCCCAGTTTGATGAAACAGCAATACGGACAGTGACTTTTTTATTATTATTATTGAAAATTTTATAAAATTTTACAATATAAATCCCCCCTTCCCCCCAAACCCAACCCTCCATCCCTCCCCCCCCACTTCCCAGAGCCAATCACAGGATTAACAATAAAATAATCCTAATCTAACTAACATTAATCAACTGTGAATCTAACAAATCTATAACTTCCTTTAACTCTCTTTTAAAACAAATAGACAACAGACAGTGACTTTTGATAGAGGGAAAAAAAAACTTTACACACTTTACACTGTGGCAAAGATCTGACAGTGGCTTTTGATAGGAAAGCTTTATTCTACACACTTAGTAGTTCTTGTGCCGGCTGCAAAATGTGTGGCAAAGACTTTCCAAACGGTGGTTCTCAAACTTGGCAACTTTTAAGGAGGGGTGCGTAGACTTCAACTCCCACACTTCCCCAGCTTTAACTGGCTGGGGAATTCTGGAAGTGGGAAGTCCCAACACTTAAGTAAAGTTGCCAGGTTTGAGAAGCGCTTGAGCTGTACAGGAAAGTCTTGTTTGATACTTTGCTGCCTTATATGCAGTATAAATCTGGGTAGTCCTACGCACATTTAAGCACAAACGGTATGAGCCATATTTGTGGTTAGTCTAGTTCAGGGGTAAGCAACCTCGGCTCTTTTATGACTCGTGGACTTCAACTCCCAGAATTCCTGAGTCAGCTATGCTGACTCAGGAATTCTGGGAGTTGAAGTCCACGAGTCATAAAAGAACCGATGCTGCCTACCCCTGGCTCTAGTCCTTGATATGAACTGTTATGGATTGTTAATCTTGATCTTTGGTTTAGGATGTTATGGGGATCCAGTAAGTTGTGATTTACTCAATAAATTGTGTCTAGGCGAATCAAACCCACATATCAAAGCCTATTGGGTTGGGATAAGTCTGAAATATTGTAAAATAAACATTTGACCTTCTCCTAAAGACACTGGATACATTGCTCTCTCCCTCTTTCTACTTATTGTTAATGCTCATATTTACCAGACAAGTGAAGGGAGAAAAGTTCAAATAAGATTAAAGCATATAAAATGAAGACATTTGGGACACAGTAGCAATAAAATACTATAAATAGTTATTTAAAAAAAAAGTTTTGCATGCCACCTAAAAACCAGTCAAGTTGGCAGTACATTTAACTTCCTGTGAAGAATATTCTGTAGTGAGTAACATCATATGCAGGGAGAGAATCTTTTCTCTTTAATTAGTTTCAATTTTGAAGAGCTTTTTTTTAAAAAAAGCATCAGCCAACATATTTTAGGCAAACAATTAGAGGAGATATCCCATACATGATTGGGTCTCAAACTTTTAAATGTGAAGAGCAGCATGTTGACCAGGTTAGCAAGAATCGGTGAATTCTTTAAACAAAATAAGTTCTTTAGAGCCTAGCCAAATATTACCAAATACTACCAAATATTACATATATATAAGAGAATCACTTTGGTGTAATGGTAAAGGCACCAGACCAGAAAGGGAAATGGTGAGTGACCTTGGGCCAGCCATTTTCTTTCAGTTCTACGAAGGCAATGGTAAACCTCTTCTGAAAATCCTTGCCAGGAAAACTGCAGGGATTTATTCAATCCAATCCAGTCACCAGGTGTCAACATTGACTCGAAGGCACATCGCATGACTATAAATTGAGTCTCCTCCATTCATGTTGGAACTTAACCACTGTACCATATAGTATTTATCATCTTGTGCATAACACATTGTGTTAAACTAAAATTAGGTTGGCGGAGCCTGTACTTCAGCCTCCTGTGGGAATTTAGCCATTGTCTTCGCCTGTTGTGTGAAAGAGAGCAATTGTGTTTCATAAAGACAGTTTTACAGTGTTTCATGAATTCAGCCAAAATGTCATAAGGGGCCCTAGAACACAAGAAACGAGTTAAGAAAAATGTATTATTTTGCTTGCTGAGCCAATAGCGGATATACTATTAATGTTTTCAGGAACTTAGGCACTTACTATTTAGTACGTGTTGCAGGAGGAAGACAGAGAGAGGTAACCACTGGACATTTGGTTCAATTTCAAGAGGAAGAAATGACAGAAATAGCCAGGGTGGTTACTATACCTCATGGAAAAACAAAGCTACCTCCGTATATTCTTCTCCAAGGTGACTGTGTTCAGTTGAGATGCCCTTCCTTGTGTAGTTACAAGGAAGGAGATCTCAACTGAGATTTTCTCTCACTTAAAATATAGGTCTGTGTACAGTAAATTGTAAATGCCCATTGTTCCTGGGTATAAGGTCCCAGTTATTAAACCTGCGTAGATTCTTATCAGGCTGGATGAAGTCTTGTAAATTGTATTTCATGTTTTATATTCAAAGCTACTTTCTCTTGTCCTTGTGTTGTTCGGTGATTTTTTTACAGTAATACCGTAGTAAAGAATCTTGCAATGCCCTTTTATGAAAACTTGGTTCTGGAACTACCAAACTTTACGACTGAGCTACATATTTTTTGTGTAGTTTTCAAAAAAAAATAGACTTATGTAAATTGTACTGTATGCTTTGTGTTGAGGTAGTTTTTCCAAGTCTCAGCATTCTTCCATTTGTGTATACCTGGCAAATACATGATGATCTACCGTTAAGCCAGATCATTTTGTTAGTAAAGTAATTCAGATTACTCAGGGATGTATCCTATTCATTTTATCAGTTGAATATAATGAGATATTGAATATCACTTAGAGACTTAGAGGCAGTATGCTGTCTTTTTAACTATTCATGATATTTAAACCAGGGCAAAATGAATGTTGGTGTTTGTGTATTATAACTGAGTAGATATCTTTGAAATAAGAGGCTTAAGGAAGTATTGTTTGTGTCTTCAAAACACATTTTAATACTAAAAATTCATACTATTACTGTATAAAGTGTATTAAAAGTATCTTAGGATTCTCTGTAGTATATAATATCAACAGAAAGGACAGTAATTCCCATTCAGCCACAAACATTCTGAATGGGAAGGAAGTCAGCAGAATGTTCCCTTTCTTTATTAAGTGATCTTGAAAAGGAGTCACCTTATAATTATCAGCTGAGTTAGTGGAATAAGAGTTTGTTCCCTGCACCTATAGCTTTCTATCACATGTGTAAGAGAAACATTAAGGTATTCAAGAGTATATTATTGTGCAGCTATTAAAGACCTCCATCTCAATTGGTTTCAGCTACCAATACTGTGTTTGTATATATTTCCTCCAGGAAATTAGATTCATCTTCAGACAAATTATAGAGCAAAGTAGAGGTATCAGGATAGAGTAGATGCAAATATAGCAGTTGTGTTTCATATTAATTGTATCCATTCAGATAAATTAGCCTCTCATTAATGGATGGTGGCAGGGTAAATTAATTTGACAATTTAATTTGCCAAGGAACTCTCCTTTTGCTTTTTGAAATACTGCTTTAAATAAAGGCTTCCATTTTCTAATTTCCAGAACAATCATGCTTGTTTTTGGTTGCAAAACCAGTACAATTAGGCTTCCATGTGATTGCTGGAAATAGGCATATGTTTCTAAACCATGATAATTATGAGCCTGGAACAATACCTTACCTACTAAGAAGTAAGATAATGATTGGGAAGCAACTTGTATTTGTTTGGATTTATCTGTACTTATCAATGGGCACCAAGGAAATTAAATATTTTAAATAAACATAAAACCAGCAGCTGAAAGGAAACTAAAGCATTGCACCATTCTGTAGTTTAATAATTTAAATACTAGCCTTGATTAGTTTAATAATTGTGAGACACTTAACAATTGAGTTAAGTAGATGCTTAAGAAATGAATAGATTCTAAAATAACTGATTTAGCTAAAGCAATAAGTTTCAAAGAATCAAAATATTCATTTTTATAATGAACTTCATTTTAAACTTTTAAAAGTCAAGTTAAAATCTATCAAACTATGAACTATTTTAAGCCTAATAAATACTATATAGTAACTAGAAACAAGTAATTTTTTTGGTAGTTGTATATTTATTAGTGGTGACCAGAGTTTTGAATTCAGTTTCAAAATGTGTTCTTTGGAGAATGCAGGAGCACAAACAATACCTGTCTGTAACTCTTTAAAATAGTTGCAACTTTTCCCAGCATAGTGTATGAACTTCAAAACTGTTCAGATGTTTTAAATATTTTTTAAACAGGTACTATGTTCATAGTCCCAAATGCTCTGAAGCATCATTTTTTAATTGAATCCACATAACTAAAATCAGGATGTTGTGATTATTGACCCCCCCTTCTAGCATAATCAGTACAAAGGTGAGTGCATAATATAATACGTAATAACTGATATTTCCTCTGATGAAATGGACTGTGAGCCATTAAAATATAGGCAATAATAAACTGAGTTATCCTTTAAGTCAGGGGTTCCCAACCCCCAATTCGTGGACCAGCACCAGTCTGTAGCATGCCAGAAACCAGTCCATGCAAACAAGCAAAGCCCCATCCATAGGATGCAGGAACCATGCAAAACCACGTCCCCTCCGGTCCACGGAAAAAACTTCTCTCCACGGAACCGTTCCCTGGTGCCGAAAAGATTGGGAGCTGCTGCTTTAAGGAATCCTAAGACTGTTACTATTTTTGACGAAGAACTGACAACACTATTACTCTTTTGGACGTTGTTTCATGTTGGAATTCTTCAAACTGCCTTGTATTGTGTGACTTATAAACAGCTATCTCTTAGTATTAATTTATTTTGAGGCTAGTACAAAGGAATTCTTAAGGAGAATCATTTTAAACCTAATTGCAAGCAACTGCTTTTTAGAATAATGCACTAGAGAAAAGTCAGGTGTTCAAATTGTCACATTCTTATGACTTTGTTGATGTGCAAAAAACTATGTATGAAGGGAAAGTTAGCGCTGAAACAGTTATTATTTATTTAGCATATGGCAGCATTGAAACAGTGAATGGATTCATGGGGAAAACCTGGACGAGTGTGGATAGATGGTAGACAGAGACTGCTGTCTATGGAAAATATTGTTCAGTTCTGCAAGTGGAAGCTTTTGGGATAAGAGCTTGCATCATCAGCTAAATTATAGGATAGATGGAAAGTAGTTGTGCCAGTAAGAGTAGACGGCACAAGCTATATAATTCACTACCTAATATTTTTCAGTTCGTTGGTTTTTAGATCTGTAAGGGAAATAGCATGAACTATTTCTTAGTTGGACCCACCATATCTCTTTTATTCTCGGTGTGAATAGCGAAAGACTCTAAATATACATTGCCATATTCTGTGTTGACTTCAGTGCACTTAACTGTTTGCTATACTGTTTTTTAAATATTTATATAATGCCCATTAGCAGAGGTTCCAGGGTGATTTACAAAAAAGTATTCATTAAATCTGTTGCATCTACTATATTATGAGAGTTCTGGAACTAATAATGAACTAATAATGAAGCTTGATTAATAGTCTTATGTACTTTTGTTTTAATCGCTGACTCACTTTTTATTTTTCTCCCGGCAGGAGCCTGTCTGTTGCTGCAGGACAAAAATGTTTCACTTAAGGACTTGTGCTAGTAAACTAAGGCCATTGACTGCCTCACAGACTGTTAAGACAATTTCTCAAAACAAACCAGCGGCAGCACCAAGGACGTTTCAACAGATCAGGTGCTACAGTGCACCTGTTGCTGCTGAGCCATTTTTGAGTGGGACTAGTTCAAATTATGTGGAGGAAATGTACTATGCTTGGCTGGAAAATCCAAAAAGTGTACATAAGGTAAGGAGTAGCCTCCCTAGGATAAAACTGCACTTTGGTACTCACGGTTTAAGGCTAAACATTTCCAGGTAAGTACAGGTGGTCATGGCAGAAGCTCCATTTGAAGATGATGCAGGAACCTTTGAATTCATTCCAGTTCTACAGAAACCTGGTCAATGCAGCACAACACCGATGAGAAAGGCAACATTGGAACAAGTTTGTGAAGTTTGTGATCGTCTTCCCCTAAAGAATTGTTCTCCCGATTTCGTCAAGGATACCCCAAAAAAAGGAGCTATTTCTCTTGATTATTATCTGAGGAATCACAAAGCATCTGTGGATCTTTTCTTCTGAAGTAATAGAGATGGATCGTGGATTGGAGAAAAGCATTTGTATTGTTTATATGTTTATATTTTGAACTGTTTGTATTGTTGTGTAATGGCTCCTTATACTGTTTTATTATTTCAAGCCAAATTCAAGAAGTTTGCAAGGGCTAAGATTGTTTCGTTTGTGCTAACATTATTTCTATATGTCACGACATATCAGAGGATAAAACTCTATGTTATGAGATGCATAACTGGTCCTATTTTTCTATTGCTCTGTTTGCAAACTATATAATAGAGGACTCATTAGTACTGGTCACTGCTTTGACGAAGAAATCTTTTGAATTGGACTGCAAAATGTGGCCATTAGAAAGAATTGGGCTGGAACAGGACATGAAGTCCATAATGCTCAATTGGATTTAACTGGTGATCATTACATATTTGAACTTTGAGTTTCTGTTCACAGCTCAAGGTAGTTGCAACACTTCTCTAAAGTTTTCTTAGAGAAAGTAGTCCCTGCCTGATGAGATAAGACTAAATAAAAACCTGGTGACTTGTTTGAAGGTCAAAGATTTATGGCATAGTAATAAGGTCTGCTGACCTATTGTAAAACTGGCTAATTCAGGATGTAGTTTCCAAGGTAGTGACAAAGCAAAAAGGAAATATAGAATAAGTTCTTGTTAGAGATAGTTCAAAGTTAAGCACTACAATAACTTTTGCTCTGAAGCATGTAGGCAACTTAAGACAAATGCAGAACTCAAACACTCAGTTGGCTAATGACATTGACTGATGTTTGGCCTGTTGAAATGTCTTTTTACACTGATCCAACTGCCACTGAAAAATGAAGAATCATAAAACAATACTGCTATTTATTAGGCTGGCGGAATTTGTACTGCCTTTTTTCAGACTGTATACCATTTATAAGCCCATAAAATGCTATAGAAATTAAGGTGTCTCTATTTGGTAGGGAAATATTCTGAAAGTGCAACTTGGTTTCTCTCTCTACTTTTTGGAATCTCCTATTTAAATATAAAAGTGCAGGTCCAAATATCATTCTCTCTTTTGGACTCTATTTTCTCTACAATGAGAAATTCTTTAAAAAATTGAGTGGTTTGCAAATAAAATCTGATGTACGCATTTCTATGCTACCTATATTGTAGTTTCTAGATTACTTAAAACCATAAAATCAAACCAGTATTAAAAACAGCCACTTTACAATGGTACCCACTCAACTAACTAGGGTTCCAACCAAAGAGCAGAGCAACAACTTCTCCTCCCCCCCTCCCCATATTTGGGAAGCCCATTGCCATCAAGACATTACTGAATATGATTGATTCAGTACTGCCTCAAGAACATGATCAATAGTGAGGAATGCAAAAAACAAATTCTATAATTCCATTCTAAATGCTCCCTCTCGCTTTTTTTTTCAGTAATTAAACTCCATAATTTCTTTTGAATATTTCATCCAATTTCTCTTTTGCAATAAAAGACTTTCTGTATTTTGCCCCTTCCCATCCTCTTGTTAGTCCTTTGAAAACATTTCCACCTACTTCCTTTCCGTGCCATACATAATATATTCCTTGTTCAGTGTTATATTTGAATATTCAATTTTGTTCAGTTTAGTATTCCTTTTATATCTCCACATTGCTGTAATTATTCTTCCTGTCTGATTTTTTTTTCTTTTAATTTTTTTAGATCTTCTGCATTTTGACATTTACATTTATTACAGTCCCTAAAATTATTAGTGGAAAATATTGTCTCTTCCTGTCAGCCCCACTAGGTAAGACCAGACCAGGATTCAATTCCACAAGCAGGCTAGAGCTATTTTTATTGAGATTGGCTGTAATAAAAGAATCTTGCAAAGAATCTTGATTATTCTGTTCCACCTCATCCTTTTAGTTCAGTGATGGCGAACCTTTTAGAGACCGAGTGCCCAAACTGCAACCCAAAACCCACTTATGCATTGTCGAGTGCCGTGTGGGTGTGGCCCATTGGGTGGGTGTGGCCCATTGGGTGGGCGTGGCTGCGATGGTAACAGCAGACTGGGTGGGACTAAAAAGTTCAATCAATCAATTCCAACTTTGCAAGAACTTTTTTTTTCCCGCGAGAAGTTGAAATTGATTGATTGAATCTTTTTTTTTTTTTTTGCACACGGTGGCGGAGGCCTAAAGTGAAAAGGTTTTATAAAACCCAGCTGAAGGCCTAGGACTGGGGTGATGGCGCACATGCCCACAGAGAGGGCTCTGAGTGCCGCCTCTGGCACCCGTGCCATAGGTTCGCCATCACTGGTATAGTTCAACTAATTAAGGAGACCTGCCTAAGCTGCTTCCAAATGTTATCTTGCTCTGAACTTTAAAAATTCTTCAGCCCCTTTTGCTTAGGCAACAGATCCTGTATACGTTCATTAAAATCACCCTTCCTTCCTTTCTACACCTCTTCCTTGCTCAACCTAATAGTCTCTAGGAAAGGAGATGGAAATTTGTTCATAGGAAAGGCCTTTAACCCATGGCAGAATCCCAATCGACTGCTGCAATTATATGAACATTGCGCAGTGTGCAATTATTTTTTTCTTGAGCTGAGCGTTGCACCTGTCTTTGAACAGCATATTCAAGGCTGCTCTGAGAAATGAGGCAAAAGTAGTGGATGTAAATTAAATGCTCTGTGTAATGAATCTAATTATTAAAAGGCTAGAATGTTCACGCATACATGCAGTTGACATGTTTTCCATTCCCCTAGGTTTCCATTCTTTCCCAAGTTTCAAATAAATTAAGAAATCTATAAGCAGCCTCCTCCTATCACTACCCTTTCCTTCTCCAATTGATAGAACCAAGTCTAACAAAGGGGTTGTACTCTTTCAGACTTGGATAGGCAGAGAGTTACACGTTGCTTTCACTGTTCTTTTCCTTTCCATAAGATGCTGCTTACATCATTCAGGGCATGTGATCTTCCTCTTCAAATCTTTTACAGGCTCTCCAAATCAAATGAAATGCCGGTCTATATCCTGCCCCCTTGGTTTTTTTTTTCTCACTCACAGAAGTTCTTCTTCCTACTCTCAAGATAGCTTGGCCGGTTTTCATTGCCATCTAAGTGATTTAATACAGGCTCGCCCCGTTCTGGGTCACCTAACTGAAAACCCACGTTTTCTTTGCAACGCTTAGCAGATGCTTTGTTTCCTATCCTTAAAAAAAATGGGTAAAATGAAAACTAGAATGGCAGAAGGATTTCAACAAATCTTAGAGTAAGAGAGTTGCTCTGATTGTTTACATTGGGAATATTTGGGTCCTTAGCAAAAGATTTGCTGGGTATGGGGGGGGGAGGGGTGTTGCCTTGCCCCAGCCCAGCACATCTCTGCTTTTGAGGTAGAGGCTAGGTATTCTGATCTCAGAAACATTGTTTGTAGAGATCAAGGGGAGGACGGTGGTTGAGGAAATAAGACCTATTTTATCATTGGAAGGGAACTACCCTACTGTCCTTTTGATCTTTGAGCTGAACTGTGTGATTGCACCCTAACCCTAAAGTAAAAGAAGAATGAAATGTCTACATGGGGAGGAATCATGTAACTTGACTCCTGGTTTAACTAATCATTCCTTTGCTAAAACTGCCAGCAATAAAATGTGATCCGATGCTAATTCCTGAAAGTGCTTTATACTTGGTGTTCCGCAGATTCCTGGAATTTATCACACTGAGTATTATAGGAGGAAGCAAAAACGAGCTTGGCCAGGGAAATGACTTAGTATTCCTAAAGATTTTTATAATCCAGCTGCACCTGTGGTTTTTTTTTGCAGGTTTAATTTGCTTCAGAAGGCAAGGAAATGTCTATAGAGGCCATTTATTATTCTCCGTTCAGTTTCTGTTCATAGTTACACTATGCTGCTACCCTCCACAGAATGAGAATGGAGGTAACAAAAGACAATCTTTTGCGTAGGACTAAGGCAGTCACAAGCCTAACAGTAAAATCTTGTGTAGTTTTAATGGCTTGAGATGTACGTCAGAACAGTGATCACGTAATAGTTGTCTGAACTATGAATTATATGTTATATTGCAGGTCTTGTGTTGCTTTCATTTCCTCTGCTTTATTAATATGCACAATATCTGAGATCACATTAATATGCACAATATCATACGCACAATATCTGAGATCTAGCATTTAGAATCAGAAGTATTCCTACAATCGCCTCATTTAACAATCTAGAACTGCTTGAGTTATTGAAGAGAAATAAAGAATTGAGTATGTTCCTTTGTAGAAAAAAAATAATACTACATCTGTGCTTGCAGCTTAAACATTTTTTCCTCTTTAAGTGTTTCATAAGCAAGTTAATTTTCCCTCATATTTTGAATACCTAATAGCAGCATCAGGTTATTCAAGGCTCAGAAAAAGGTTTTGGTTTTTTTTTTTAATCTGAGATGCTAAACATTATGCATTTTATTGTGCCGTATCTTGCATTATTTTAGGTACCAACAGTTGAAGCACCTACATGTTTGCAATTTAAACATGGTTTATAGTAGCTGAGTATTAATTAAAATATAATACAGTTAAGCATTTTGTGTGCTTCTCTCCTTTGCCCTGTTTATAGCTACTAGTCTAATAGTAGAAAATACTCTTATTAAGTGTACTGTAAGAATAATTATAAGCTTTCATATTGCTGCATCTTATCTGTTTCCTAAAGCTTTTCTTTTAAATAAAATTGTTAAACGAAGTATTGATGAAATAGAAACCATATTGGAGGGGCTATGAAGAAACAGTATTCTTTGTCCCTAGCCAATGTTTCTCATTGTATGTTGTCACATTTTATGATGACCAGTTGAGTAATTTATTGCAATAGAGGTCAAAGTTTTATATCAGGACTTGTGAATCCTCCATTTGACCTTTGACTGCTTTTGTATCTGGCAGAGCAATATAAGATATAACCTTATCAAAAGAACTAGCACTGAGAGCTGTTTTGTCTGGGGTTTTGAAAAGAGAATTCTTTTACGCATGACACAGCATGGGCTAATTATTTACTAGGTGTTTTTTTTTAATCCCACTGTATAATTTTCACAAAGTTGGCAAGCATACCTAATACTCCTCTCTCTGGTTTTCCCCACAACAATAATGCTGGGAAGTGAATTGGGCTGAGAGAGCTTGACTGGTCCAAAGTGACCCTCCCAACTTTCCTGCCTAAGGCGAAACTAGAACTCATAGGCTCCTGGTTTCCAGCCTGAAACCTTAACCACTATAGTACCAAATGGATAGTCAAGAAATATATCCATTGGGTCCAAAGCTATGCAGCTCTTTGGAAATGATTTGGAAGAGAACTTTCATCCCAAGAAAAGGTGTAGTTGCTTTAAACCAGGGCTTTCCAAACCCGGGTAAAAATTGGGTAGAAGCGGTTTTACCCAAAGGAATTCCTCTGAGTAAAAACAGACAAACCCATTAGTGGTTTAGCAGAGTAGATGATCCAAGCTTAGGTCAAACAGTCAGCGCAAAATGTTATTATTATTTTTTTTTTAAAAAAGACTATTTGGAGTTCTTCTGTTAACATTTCACAACATATATATCCTGTGGTATCTGAGGAGACCACGATGCAATTATTGCCCTTTTCAAGCACCTACTTGCATGAAATAATAGGGCTTTGCACTCTTGCCTTCTTCATAAAGATCCTAAAATGAAATTGTTTGCTGAATCTGAAACTGTTTTTAATCATGAAAGAAAAGTTTGGGAAGCGCTCCTTTAAAAAGTTGCAGGTCGTTGCCATCTTTGTATTGTTTGTGAATCAAATCTGAAGCATTTAACAATTTGTAGCCAGAGTCTGGGTATATATTTTTTTCAAGATCCATGTTAGTATGTCCTGATTGTGTCCTAAAATTCATCATGTATACAGTAGTTGGGTGCTATACGGTTTGTATAAAAAAGATGAAGCTGAAAATAGTGTCAGTAGGTGACGATGGGGACTGATACCACTGCAGCATGAAATTAGCAGGAGTGAGATACCTTTTTCTCTTTTGACATCCAAGGAACCTTTTATAACAATAGTGCATATGATTATCAGATTCCTGTATTTATTTCTTGCTCATTTTACAGGGATATGTCCAGATAGCAGTCAGAGGTAAAAGCTCAACAGAATTCAGCAATATTTAAATTTGAGAAACAAAAATAACTTTTGGATTGCCTAAATTTCATTTGAGAATCTAGTCACTTTTTTAACGGGAGAGAATATGAATAAACTATGGTATATTGGGGAATATTGTGTCTATGTCTCTTAGTGTAAAGAGGTGAGATTACTAAAATAATAATCTGTATATGAGTTGTTGCCATCACTAACCAGGGCAAAGTCATATAAATCAGAACAGAAAATCTATTTCTTATATGTATATAATTAACAACATTTGGTAAGTGCTTTGTGTTTGGTTATTTGTTGATTTCCAAGAACCTAATGCTGGTCCTAAACACTGCTTTTTCATTTAACTTTTGTTTGTATATATGTCAGAAGCAGGACTGAAAAAAATCTTAATAATCATACAGGCGTTTTAAAGTTCCTGCTGGAACCTATGACTCTTTCTTTCGTTGCTGTGCTCCATTGGCCTTCATTGAAAAGACCAATTCTTACTGTATTTTACAGTTCGATCAGTGCAACAATGCTAGAGAGGCGTTGAACTGTTTTGCTGTATTATTATAAACTCCTGCCCTTCAAATGGGACTAAACAGAGAGAGCGGGAGGGGATATAACACTTCTGATTTTGATCTTTGTCTATTTCAGTCTGTTTATTTTCCAGATACTGTAGATATCTTTTGTTGTTGTTGTTGTTGTTCTACAAAAATGACTACTGGGACCAGAATTTCTATTGCAGGGCAGTTATTAAATAACTCGGAACTGATTTTATGACCTTTTTTCATGGTTATTAGTGGAATAACTGCAGTAGTTAAGTGACTCTGACTTCCACCATTGATTTTGCTTGTTGGAAACTGGCTGGGATGGCCGCAAATGGCAATCGTATGACCGCAGGATACTGCGACCATTGCAAAATTTGGACACTGAGCCCAAATTTTGCTCAGATGACTATGGGGATGCTGCAGTAGCTGTGAGTGGGAGGAACAGTTGTAAATCACTTTTTCCAATGCTGTTGTAACATCAAACAGTCACTAAACAGATCATTGTAAGTCAAGGACTACCTGTACATTAGTAGGGCTAATACAAAAAAGGACACAGAAGATAAGGGTTATCGTTGATATGTTCTACAAACTTTATCATATGAAATGAATTAAGGGGAGGCAGTAAGACTCACCCTCCTAACTACATTTGGTTATCTCTAGTACTGTGTCTAATAATGTATGTACTACTGTGCAGAAGTTAAAGAAATTTGACTGTCAAAATAGATTAAGTTGTTTGAAGAAGTAATTCCCTATCAAATGGACTTTTATTTTTATTTACTTTAGTCATGGGACATATTCTTTCGCAATGCCAATGCTGGAGCTGCTCCAGGTACTGCTTACCAAAGCCCCCCTCCATTAAATACCAGCCTGTCAACCCTGGCACACGCACAGTCACTGGTTCAAGCACAGCCAAATGTAGATAAGCTGGTGGAAGACCATCTTGCAGTCCAATCACTTATCAGGGCATACCAGGTAAGGGTGTGGTTGGTTTTTTGTTTTGTTTTTTAAATGGTTTATTTTCTTTGTATGTGGTAATTAATTATTGTTTCAGCTGTAAGATTTAAACTCGCTGCTTAAATAGAATGGAGCATTTTTTTTATCAACTTTACTTTTAATTACAATCACTGAACCAGAACAGAGGAACAACAAATGACACAAACCAAAACACGAGAGTTTGTAAGAAGATAACTGATGCTTGGTTGTATGTCTTGTTTTACAAACAGGATAGCAAAATTTGCACACTCCTAGAAACTGAATCGTACTGACCTTGGATAATAGCATCTGCACATAGAATAATCAGAATTCCTTGAGTATTTTGTAAAATAGAGAATTATAAGGACGGCTTCTGTATCCTTATAGAAATGCAATATAGCAGGATCTAGTCTTCGTTCATACATGATCATTGGTCTAATCCATGGTCTTATTGACAGCAAATACATTTCTTACTTCATTTCAGTAATTTTTAATATGGTTGTGCAAATAAAATTGCTAAAAATCTTATGAGATTCCTACAGTATTTTTAAAAAGTGAACAGATTTCCAAGATTTGAAGTCACATAATTTGTATATTATTGTATTCAAAACATTTTTTCTCCCTTGATTAAAGCAGTGGTTTTTCTTACTACATTTTTCCTACTTTAGATTCTCCTTGAGATGGATCATAAAGCATTAATTGAAAATGTTTAAAATAGCTTCATATTTCAGAAAATTGCCTGCTTAAGAACCTGATTTCTGTTGTTATATTGTTTATATTTTAAAATCAAATAGCGGCTGTGGTAAATTGCTTTCTTCACACAGATGTGTTTTATTTTATATAGTAATGTTATTCATAAAAAGATTCATTGAGTAGAAGAATGGACCTGAACTTGTGAGACTTATCACTTACAGTGTTTCAGAGAAAAAAAAAAGTCAGATGAAACAGTTTTTTCAATATGCAGCTTTATGCAATACCTTTATAAAGCATTTAATCTCTATAATTAATGACTTGTTATGATGAGCAGGAGCAAAAAAAAAATTGGAACTTAATAGAGTAGTGATAATCTTTCTGGGTAAGTCTTTCTGCCCTTGAGACCATTCTTAATCCTAGATGGGACATTCCATTGCTGTCAAGAAACAGGAATATAGATCCCTGTTCCATAAGCATCTTTTAGAAACAATTTCTCCTGTGTGTGTGTGTGTGTCTGTCTGTATTCAGATGTTCACATCCGTTTGGACTATGTATCTATGTATAGAAATTAGCCACTGGACAAAGGAGATTGATTTTCCAAGTCCTTCATATTGCTAAGAGAATTGGGCTTGGAAAGATACATTTATGGCCCCAATTATTCAGCGGTCTATTTGCAACTTACAAATGCATTGCTTGTAGCAATAGACTATATGTTGATTATTCTAATAAAATATAGTTATTATTTCATGAAACTTTTATGTAAAATTGTATATATGTGTGCATGTATATATATATATATCCTTTTGTTAGTTTTTTCTTATCTTTTTTCCCCAGTTTAATTAAAAAAATGAAGGGAAATTTTAAAGTACTGAGTCACAAGAATGTTACTAAATACATCACACTTTTTTGACTTCAAGGAAAAAAATACTTTAATATCTGAATGCAAGCTACCTTTTCATACATTCTTAACTCTGTTGAAATACATCCGCGTGGATTTGGATAAATTCAGTACTTGCAGAACTCCTGCAAACGGGAAGGGTGATTGTTACCCAACTTCATGACTAATTTTGTTGTTGTTTCTAGGTCAGGGGTCACCACATTGCCAAGCTTGATCCTCTCGGCATTAGTTGTGTAAATTTTGATGATTCGACAGTAACTGATTCGCCAAACATTGGTGAGAATTATTCTGCAAGTTAAATTGAATACAACGTTTTAACTTTTATACTCCTTTCCTTTCCGCCCCTCTTTCCCCTCCATTTCCCTCTTTTTTTGGTTTCCACTATCCTTTTCATTTCTGGCCCATTTCATAGATCCGAGGGCATCATGTAGCCCAGCTCGACCCCTTGGGCATCTTGGATGCTGATCTGGACTCTTCCGTTCCAGCCGATATTATCAGTTCCGCAGACAAACTGGGTGAGGGCTCCAAAAAAGCAGCTAGTGCCGCATTGCTTGGGCTCCCTCTCTCACTTTCACAGCTTCTAGATAGATTGCTTCACTAAATTTGAAGGGAAAGGTCTTAAGTTTCCTTCCTAATGATCACTTAAAAAAAAAAAAAAGGAACAGTGGCAGCGTTGATCTGTCCCTAGTCACTTACCGTTGTAACTTCATATAATTACATCCCCTGGTTCGAGACACCTTGTGGTCTCCTCCTGACCTAGTCCTTGTGATTTGGAGACCAGCTATCAGAAGGTGTGACTAGCAACTGTGAACACTCTGCCACTCCAAGAAAACGAGTGTAATTAGAGTGACGGACACATAAGCATCCCTTGAACTGTATTTTGATGGTCAACAGAGCTCTTGTTTGGCGCTCTGGTGACTTCTCAGAGCTCCGTACTTGATGGCTGCTGTAGGAGGGAGTGAGGAAAGAGGCAACTCTCTGGATGCCTTCAGATCAATGCATGATTTAGGGCCAGCTGCACAGCTAAGAAAACACACATACACACTTTCAACTTTGACTAATGACTCCCATCAGTGATCATGATAAGGAAGCTTTGGAATGCATTCCCACTTCTAATCAAAAGACTGAAATGATACAGATCCTTGGCTGGAGAGGTGCATGTGTGGTTCTCAGGTGAGGGTGCACTTGCTGAGCAATACTTGGAATTTGGTTTTCCGGTAGAGCTCCCGGGGTTTGTTAATTCTGGCCGCCATTTTTCCCTTCAGGATAGGGCCAGTTGTGGTGGCTGAGCTCTACTGATCCGCTGGTGCTTTCCACAGGTTAATCAACCTGGCTCTGCCAATGCTTCTAAGTAGCATGCTTCTAACTTAGAATAGAGTAACAATAATGACAACTAACCCCTTTCGAGACTAAACTTTGATTAGAGTATTTGTGCATGTAAAATAAACGGTGTGAATTGACGGTGTGTACCGGTTAGATGGTGTATGTGCGTATCAGTGTGTGTGTTGGTGAAATGGAAAGCGTTTAAGAAAGCCAGAGTTGGTTGAAAGATGGGCTGGTATATAAATGTTTTTAATAAATAAGATTAACTAACACAGCAATGTAACTTTGGTGAATATCTAAGAACACACTAAGTGCAGTTCACTTTACTAAATCTCCACTCTGAAGTTATTGCCCCGTGTACATTAAGCTGGACTCCTAAACCCAGATGGTTGTACCAGGCCCTAACCGATCCCCAGTATTGAGTGGGTGGGTGTGTTTGTGTGTGTGTGTGCTGTGGAATTCCTTCCACATTTCACAAAGATTAAAGATTCACTTTAGGCAGACATAACTATTTTAAGTTAAAGGAGTGCACTGGAATGATGGTGGCTTCTGAACTCTGTGTGTGTGTGTGTGTGTGTGTGTGTGTGTAATGGACATTTCAAGTGGTTTCATCTGTGAATTATCTTTGTCTTCTGTCAAATCTATTGAATGGTTGAAATTGTCATATGAATATTTTAGTAAAATGTAGACACTATTAGAATTTTTGTCTGAATAAAAATTAAACATTAATGTAGGAGATGATTTAAGAAATGTAAGGGTTGTATTTTATTTATTTTACCAGTGTATTATAGAAAAATATATTGTATAAAATATAAATAAATAGCAGGGGCTCCGTGCATAGTAATTATTGTCAGCCCTATAAGATAGGCCAGACTAAGAAAGCAACACCATGTTGATCAGTACTGCTTTTGCTATAACAACTATAATAACAGGATCCTGCAAGCCTGAATATAGTTCCTCCTCCATCTCTTTATCTCCGTGTGAACCTGGGAAGGGCTTCTCTTAGCCGTTTTCTCAAGTTGCACTCTTGACCAGGCTCAAACCCCTTTTATGTCATCGTTGCCTTGAAAGCAATTCTTCCTCCTGTCCTTCTAGGCCAGGGGTGTCAAACTGCCAGCCTGCGGGCCGGTTGCATCATACAGAGGCCGCGCCCACCCCAGCTCCAACAATGCAAAAAAAGTTGCGATACATTGCGACACGTGACATGATGTGGCGAGTTTGACACCTGTGTTCTAGGCCATTCTCTGTCCTTTACATCATTCCACTACCACATATTTATAAATTAAGATAAATTCTTTGCTTGAAACCATATGTGCATATTCAGAACAGGAAAATTGTATGAAAGGTGGATGCCATTCATAATAGGTAGGTAGGTAAGTAGGTAGCTGATAGATATATACTGTAGTTCAGAAAGACTTAGATAAGGATTGCTCTTACCTCTTAACTCTGAAGCAGCTGATATTGTTGATTGAAGAGATGTGCAACTTCTTTGAAACTAGCATCTTGGTCCAGAGTTTTAGAATGAAAGCTAACTTTGCATTATCTGAAAGCAATGGGCAAAATTATATTCATATTAAGTGTTTCACCTTTGACCCTTTTCCACACTTTATTTTCATTTTAATGTGAAAGAGCATTGTCTAGCCAGAACACCCTCCAGATATATGGATTTCCGCAACCCGGAATTCTCCAGGCAGCACAGTGATTGTGCAGGATTCTAGGAATCAAATTCCAACCTATCTGAAGAATGCCAAATTGAGGATAAAGTAGTCCGTAGCTTCAGAACAAATCAGAACTTGTTACAACAAAGTTAAATGTAATTGTCCCTGCTCTTACCACGAGTAATGGATTGAGAGTTGAAGTGATACTTGGGAGAAGGTGAAGAAGACACAGCCAAGTTAGCAGGAAGATCCAGAGGCCTCTGAAATTCTCTGCTTCTAAATGCAGAATTTAAGACTTCGGGGCCATGCCACAAAAACTAAGGTTCCAAATGTGGCATACAATTATTTTGATGAATCATAACTTAAGGTCCTTTCACCATTTTATAAAGATTATTCTATTCCTGTGATACGTGCTTTGGGAGAGTTATTCTTAGGAAACTCCTCACTGCCCCATCTTTTAAAATCTCAGTCATATTAATTTAAAAGGGGTTTCAGGGCTTCAACCTTTTGGCTTCTTCTGTTAAAGACAATGTAGAATGCATAATACTGCAAGTCATCCATTCTAGGATTCCATATACGCTTATTCAAAAACCACATAATTAACTGAATCGTTCTGGAACGGAAATGTCATATCTCCAGCATAGTGGTGAAAGGACGGTGTCAGGATGAGATATGCATTGGACAAAAGGCAACTGCTATGCATCACCATATCCTTTTCTTAAAACACGTAATAGGATCTTTGTCCTAAGCTCAAGAAACACCAAGAGCAAAATAAAAGCTTACCGTATCCTAATAACTGATATACGTTATATCTGATATTAAAGCTTACAACCCTGGTAGTTGTTGAATCTTTTCATCTATTCATTTGACCAGCACTTTTTAAATGCAGATTTGTAGAATTTAAAACATCTTGGGGGAGGGAGGGAAGAATTCTACAGTTTTAACTGTGTTATTATGAAGATCCCCCCATGGAGATGCAGAAAGCAATGTATTAAATTTGCAGGCTACATCCAGTAAAGTAATTGTTGAAGATCTTGTCTGACAGAATTGCATTCCCTCTTGTGCAGAGACCATCTGGAAGAGTAATATTTCCATATATTTACAGAGTCAAAGATATAAACTTGTTCTCAGCTGAACTGTATTTCTCACTTATATAAACAAATTATAGATCAGAATAGGAAAACTAGAATTGTCCTTGCATAGAAGGTGGACTGAGGGTTCAGATACGTAAACAAGACTGTAACTTTTCCTAACCTTTGTTGCTTTTCAGTTCAATCTGTAGCACAGGATACGGTAGCGTAAAGTGTGTGCATCCTATGCTATCCTCTGCCTTGCCAGTGCAGCGATTTATAAAATCTTAAATCACAACAATCTCACGGTAGAATGGGTACAAGATTCTGTAACACGCGTTCACTTGTGATTTTTTTTTGACCAGAAACTTGTCCTTTAATGTTTAGGATTTTTTTCCCCCATTCGCATAAGCAATGACGTCCCAAACATGTAACTTAACTGCCATGATCTGTCTGGTGTAACTGTTGTGCTTATTCTATTTTCTCTGCGGTCAATATGGCTGGTTCTGAAAGATTCTTCAGATTTTCTCCTGGCATACAGTCATCTTCCATTCTAACCCCCTTTTCTTTGGTGACTTGTTTTTTTTTTTTAACTGTGTTATGTGCGGATACTGTTTTTTAAAAGCTTACTTTCTCTTTTTTTGCAACTACTTTCTCAGTTCTTTGGAATTTAAAAAGAGACTAACTTTGACTCAGTTTCTCTGTCTTCTCCTTTCTGCACCCGACCTTTCCCTCCCTCCCCAGATCTTGCTGTATTCAAGGAGCGGCTGAGAGTGCTAACAGTAGGAGGTATGCAAATAATGAGCCTTTAACCATTCTGGAGCTTAGGACTCTCTGAATAGTTGACTCTGGGCATGTACAGTGTAGGTAAAGTTACAACTTGCCCCATTTTGCAGCAGTGTTTTTTGGTCTTTCGTCTTTTCCCCCGTCAGAATCGCTTTCAGTGTTCAGTGGAGAGATGTGTGTGATCAAAGCGCTTCATCAGTCACGCTCCTCAGTTATGTTCCCTTTCCATTGGGTTCAGCGTGGTAGCTATTTTTTTCTCTTTATTTGCTTTCTGTTTGCTTGTTTTGGAATACTTCAGGAAGCTTTGTTGTGCTTTAACACATTGGTCTCTGCTAAAATGTAATCTGTTAACTGGATGTTCATCAGCACGCGTATAAAATTGGTTGAGGTGTATGTATTAGCTGGGTTTTGTGTTATTTTGTTGCGTGGTATTTATTTTCGTTGTGCAGAAAGTTCTTTGTGGATAGTGAAATTTAGGGTGTGGATGTTCATTAACTGCATCTGCATTGCTAAAAGAAAATAATAAGTGCCATCTTTTTGTAAGCCTGCTCTGAGGTTTGTTTGTTTTTTTTTCAGAATAGCTGAGCACTTTAATCGCAAACTTCTAGCTGAAAATGTGTATTTTTTTAATCCAATGATTGAAAGGAACAATGTCGAAAAGCAGTTCAGCAGTTCTTGCAATTGCTGCATGCCTAACACTGTACGGTGTTGAGAAAATTCTCTATTTCTTGTGCAGATTTGATGCCTATAATAAATAACTCTTCCAATCACAATGCACAATAAAAATAATTGTATTTTGGCCTAAGAATGAGAATGACTTTTGGCTTTTTCAGGCCAAGTATCTATCAATATGATTATTACAGTAGATGTCTATCTCATATTTTATTCAGGAGTCCTAAGTAGCTGAATAAAGATTTGGACCCAAAATGGCCTATTTTAAAAACAAGCCATGCTCTGCTTAAGATACTGAATTAACCAGCCAACCATTCTTTCTCTACAGTATACCTATCACATTTGTCTCATATTTTCTTTGCCATCATTCTGCATCTTTGATGGCTGCTGAGGGGTATAAAGGACTAAACATCGTAGCCAAACAATGTCAAAACAAGAATGGAGGGGTCTTTTCTTCATATTAGCCGTATATAGAAGATCATAAAATTTATTTTTCCTGTTTCAAAGAGATCTTGTTAAAAAGTGAGAAGAATGGAATCGCCTCCTAAACAATATTTCTCCAAGCATTGAGGTCCATTGAATCCCTCTGCATTTGATGCATGGCTGGTAGATATCTGGGGGGGGGGGAGTCTTGATATAGCAACCAAGGTATAGAATTTGCTGCCTATAGGAGTCCTATGCCACTCCCAGCAATCCTGTAGCTTTGCTAGCCTTCTTCTGGTTGTTGCTTTCCCCCCCCCCCATCAGGAATTTGGCCTTTATATGATTTTGGCCTTTTATATAATCTTTTTTTCTAGGTTCCTTAGTATTTTGTGATAACTTCGTTATTCTGTTAGATTTGTTCCAAATAGTTTTGGGTTTGGCATTTAGTTGAAGTGAAAGGTGAGGAATAATTTCAAAACAGACATTATAATAATAATAATAATAATAATAAAGTTGGAAGGGACCTTGGAGGTCATCTAGTCCAACCCCCTGCTCAGGCAGGAAACCCTACACCATTTCGGACAAATGGCTGTCCAGTCTCTTCTTAAAAACTTCCAGTGTTGGAGCATTCACCGCTTCTGGAGGCAGGCTGTTCCACTGGTTAATTGTTCTCACTGTCAGGAAGTTTCTCCTTAGTTCTTGTCTATGCTATATCTTGTCTATGCTAGTTGCCTCTTTTCATTAGGCTGCCGTACAGAACTGGCACTTCTGAAAGTTTCCATTACTATCATCTTTCCAGCTTTCAAAGCTATCTGATCATCAGCTGCAGAACTATTTTTAATTATTCCAGCAGCTGATGCAAAAATATGCTAATGCTAGTCCTGTTATAGTCGAGCTAGACAATCATATATAGTAGATGTGGGAAGGAATGTTTGATAATAGCTGTTTTAAGAGAATTGTTGAGAAATGCCTTGAAGATGCCCAGAAGTCGAAATGTTTGTGGAGCTTGTGGAAAGAGTTTTGCTTATACAGAGACCACCTCAGTATGAAATCCTTGTTCCTGGTAGTGACCTATTCAGGAGAGTCCTCTGCAGAATCCTGTATCATCCTGCGGCTTTTCATCCTTTTGGTTCTGGGAAATTGGTCCTTTTAACTCTTCATTTCCTGCTTCAGTTTATTTTAATTTTGAATATGTGGTGGCACTATGTGTTTGCTGTACTTGTAACCCCTTATGTTCTACAAATGTATGTGTGGAGGTCTAAATTTCTCGTTAATCATTTCCCCCCCTGGGTTTAATTACCAATTTTCATGGCAAGTATATTTCTCACGTTCATATACGGTGTGACTTTTATACTTCTTTTGTTCTCACTTTTATCTGTCCAGTTTTTTTAATTCCTGCTTGTGTTTTATTCACACAAACCTCCTTCATGCTTACTTTGTGCTGCTTTTCTTGTCCTCCCCCTCCCCCCGTCCCTACCAAAAACCTGGTTCCTGTGTCACGACTGTCTTGAACTGAACACCTTCCCCAATCCTCCTTTGCCTTCTGCTACCTGTGAAAATCCTGCAGGGTTTTATGGCCTAGATGAATCCGACCTGGACAAAGTCTTTCACTTGCCAACTACGACTTTCATTGGAGGAAATGAGTCCGCTCTTCCTCTTCGGGAAATCATCCGCCGTTTGGAGGTAAGGAAGCCAGCTAAGCATTTGGGGGTTCCTGTGGATGTAAACAATCCAGTAAAATAATAAGGGATCGTGTAATAATAATAATAATAATAATAATAATAATGATGATGATGATGATGATGATGATGATGATGATGATGATGATGAATAATTTTCTAGTGACTAGAAAAAAAAATCAAAAGAATATGCCAGCACTGCAACCTGGCATAATATAGGACAGTGATGGCGAACCTTTTAGAGTCTGAGTGCCCAAACTGCAACCCAAAACCCACTTATGCATCATCGGGTGCCGGGTGGGTGTGGCCCATTGCTGGGCGTGGCCCATTGGGTAGGCGTGGCCCATTGGCTGGGCATGGCTGCGGTGGTAACGGCAGACTGGGTGGGACTAAAAAGTTCAATCAATCAATTCCAGCTTTGCAAGATCTTTTTTTTCCCGCGAGAAGTTGAAATTGACTGATTGAACCTTTTTTTTTTTGTACACGGCAGTGGCGGCCTAAAGTGAAAAAGGTTTTATAAAACCCAGCTGAAGGCCTAGGAGTGGGGCGACAGCACGCGTGCCCACAGAGAGGGCTCTGCGTGCCGCCTCTGGCACCCGTGCCATAGGTCCGCCACCACTGATATAGGAGGAAGATTGTTCTGTAACAGGGGTCTTCAAACTTGGCAACTTTAAGACTTGTGGACTTCAACTCCCAGAATTCCTCAGCTAGCCTTGACTGGCTGAGGAATTCTGGGAGTTGAAGTCCACAAGTCTTAAAGTTGCCAAGTTTGAAAGACCCCCTGTTATGTAGGGTGGACATCATCACAGAGAAGACCTGTTACAGAGGAGACAAGGTTTTATACGAACAAAAGAATCTTTTAGCTTATGGAAACTTGATGGTTAATGGTTCAGAACAAGCGCTGCCATGTATAATCTTAAACCCATGAATCTACTTTAGGGAAAGAAATTGTGAGGCTACTTGAGATCCATTATCAAATTAGGTAGCATGTTTGTACAACATTCTGCTGCGTAATTAACCATGGTTTACCAAATGAGCCCGATTGCCTGAATTCTTAAACACTGGACTATACATGGGCTGAACTAACTGGCTTTCCTATGACTCTGAAATACAAATAGCCCAAACCCCATTTTAGCCCTTACGTTGTGCAAGCCCAGCCACTATTTTAGAAATCTGTAAAAGAAAAAACTATAATGTGGCTTCCCCGTACCCTGATCTAGTGAGTTCTCTATTCTAAAAAAGGATGCATTGTGGGGAAAATGCGCACATATGAAAGTTTAAAATGGTCATTTCCAAAGGAAGCACTTCCTTTGTTTCCTGGCAGTCACACAATTTCCTTTGACAATAATGGATGACTCTGCTTAAAAAAAAAAAGCTGTTGCTGAACTCTAAAAAAAACTGAAACGGAGGAAATGGAATTGGAAAGCAATAAATAAATAAATCTCAAGGTCATTGTAACTCCTATAAGGACTCTGTTGTAATTGCCTTATGTAGAAACGAAATTTCATTAGCAAGAGCTTTTTCCCTGGCCCAGCTTCCCATTTATTCTGGGTTTGGGAGTTGTTCTCCTCTCCCCTGATCAGCCAGCTTCTAATTTCTATCTTTTATTAAGTAGCACTACTTTCCGATGAAGGGAATAGCTCTCTCTGTTCCCTGCTCATGTTCTCAGCGTCACGACTCTGGCTAAAAATAATTCCCAGCAAGGTTATTTAAATGCCATTTCTTGCCAAACGTTCTCTGTTTCTCTGTTTGTAATCCCTCTATTCCACCCCTGCCTGGCACAGTTACTATTTTCAGTTACCTGAAGTGTGAATTCAGCTGTATTCAAATTCCTGACTTTAAGAAGCACTTTGATTTTAGCAAGTATTCAGATTATAGAGCGCACTGGAGAGCAGGACTGTGCTTGCTTTGAAAATCATTAAAAAAAGAGAGGTGCTTTGGAAAACATGGAAATATTCTGCCTTTTTAAAGCAACTACAACTTTTGTTCAGCTTCCTCATAAGCTTGAAAACAGACAAGGCCATTCTCATTAACATGCAGCTTCTTTAATAAGTCAGCCCCTTAAAGCAACCAAGTTCTTTTCAGGCAATGTTTTGCTAGAAAAAAATTACTAAAGGAAAAGAAACACATTTCTTTGTAAAGAAATGCCACAGTCATGCTCCCACACATTTCAAACCATCTCTTTTTACCAGTGTCTCATGTAAACCGGACATACTCCAAAGCATTTCAATATTTCTGTGCAGCAGCGTGTTGCATTATGTAAATCCATAGCTGACAATATTTTCCTAGGAAAATTGTCTGCTACAACTGATCTTTGACACTTAGTGGTGCCCTGATGTCCACTGTTAATTGAAGATCTTAGAAATAACGAACTTTTCATTTTATAACTAAGTGCAACTTTTTGTTTTATAATTGAATAGAACTGTGCAGTCTTTGGTTGCCAAATCTCAATTGTTTACATTTTTCAGGAATAATGTAATGTCTAACTAGCGCGTTATTTGTTGGATTTGATTTGTCAGCGCTTGGACTGAAATCCTAGTTTATCTGAAACTCCATTAACTGGCTTAGACTTTCCGGATTGACTTAATCATCACAGTATGCTTGTGTTCTTAACTTGGTTTTTAGAAAGAGGAAAACTTATGAATAAGATTAAGACTTACCGGTAGCTCGTATAAAGTAAGCTCTTAATTTGGGCTTGGAGATGGCTGGATCTTCTGCTCCAACTTGCATCCTTCCTTTCTTTAACAGATGGCTTACTGTCAGCACATTGGAGTAGAATTCATGTTTATTAATGATCTTGAACAATGTCAGTGGATAAGGCAGAAATTTGAAACGCCTGGTGTCATGCAATTCTCCAGTGAGGAGAAACGCACCCTGCTGGCCAGACTAGTGCGTTCAACCAGGTATTTCCTTTTCATCAACTTGCATAATTACCATTGGTTGGAGTTTAGTAGTAGAAGAATTATGTTCAGTTTTAAGCTTTCCTAGTTTCATATTTCATAGACACAGTCAAGGACATAACACCTTCAGTAAACTGAGATGGAAACGTTCTATCCTAGCCATATGGACCTAGTTATTTGCAAGACCGCCTCCTACCAAACACCTCCCTTCGACCAGTCCGCTCCCACAGAGAGGGCCTCCTTAGGGTGCCGTCGGCCAGACAATGCCGGCTGGCGACCCCCAGGGGGAGAGCCTTCTCTGTGGCAGCTCCTGCCCTCTGGAATGACCTACCCCCCCGACCTACGTACAGTTGCGGACCTGCGCCTTTTTCGCCGAGCCCTGAAGGCCCATCTATTCCGTGCGGCCGGCCTGGCGTAGTTTGGATTGTGTTTTAGTGGGGTTTTGTATGGGGTGTTTTTAGAACAGGCCTGTTATTTAATTCGATTTTAGCACAGAAACTATTTATTTATTATTGTGGTTTTTAGTATCGCCTGTTCACCGCCCTGAGTCCCGTAAGGGAGATAGGGCGGTATATAAATTTAATAAATAAATAATAAATAAATATTTATAACCCCACAAAGTGTCAGTAGTGGCTTTTGTGAAAGCCTGTATCTCATGGAAAAAGTTCTCCGTAGATGTTTAGACTGCAGCTTCCATCACTCTCGAAACAGTGGCTAACCTTTCAATTGGCAATGTAGAACTGCTCTTGCCTAACAAGGAAAGATGGGTAACTGTTGGGAAACTGCCAACTAGGCTGGAAGGAGGGGTCAAGCGAGAGCCTAGCTTGGAGTCATTGTGCAGCCACAAGTGCCATAAGCTTGACTTCTTCTAAGATCCATGAAGCCTATTTGGTCATTCCAGAGTAAGTCATACAGGCTGGTAAGATTCTTGTAATGTGTGGCAAACAATAGTTAATGGCTTTGGCTATACATAAGAAACCATGTTTATTTGCACCTGACAATAGCAGCATTTGTTGAAGTAGTCATCCAGACCATTATGCATTCAGGAGAGCAAATGGTGGTTAGTTTTTCTCCTGATAGGTAACACTTGGGGCAGGGGCAGGAAAAGGGACAGCAGAGAATCCAATATTCATCATCTCCAAGTTTCCACATTTCATTCTATAAGGGCAGCAGCACTTCCCAGCCTTGCTCCTGAGATGCAGTAAGGTAGACCATAAGAGCAATAAGATTTATATACACATACTCTCCTTCTAAGGACAGGAAGGATGCACATTAGCATGGCTCTGCAGAAGAGCCCAGAGACTCATACAGATTATGTGACAGCATCTCTGTTTTCCAGGTTTGAGGAGTTCCTGCACAGAAAGTGGTCTTCTGAGAAACGGTTTGGTTTGGAAGGCTGTGAGGTTCTGATCCCTGCGTTAAAGACAATAATTGACAAGTCAAGTGAGAAAGGAGTGGATTATGTTATCATGGGAATGCCTCACAGGTAAAGTTGTCCTTGGAGGAAACTGGTTGTAGAGAGTGAGGCTATCAAGAGAGTGTATGCCGAATGTCAACCTGCCGTTCAGTCATTCTGAGTTGGATTCTTCCTGCGACCCATTTTTATGATTTTGCTCTTTTTTTCAGTCCCAAAGGCCCACTTTTTTCAAATGTTGATGTGACATAGAATTGCCATAAAGAGGAATACAGATTAGTCATTGAAGCCTTGGTTAAGTCAAATGTATTTGATTTCATTCGTTAATCAAAATTATTATTTCTCCTTTAGCAGACTGAATGTATTCCATGTACCATCTCACTAAATATGATTTTGGTTTTCTAGAGGGCGTCTGAATGTCCTTGCCAATGTTATCAGAAAGGAGTTGGAGCAAATTTTCTGCCAGTTTGATTCTAAGCTAGAAGCTGCAGATGAAGTGAGTTCAATTTTTATTCGGATTATATATTTCACTTGACAGGAACTTCCTTCATATTAGTTAATAACTACTGCATTTAGTCTTGAAGACAATGGCAACATCTGTGTTTGCCACTGAAACAAGTTGGGTGTGATCTCAACAATGTGTCGTAACATTTTTCTAGTTTCTCAGTTTTCCAGTTGTTTTCAAGATAGCTCTTGAATGCCAGGAATGAGGTTCCCGTGGCATAAAAGTGCTTTCATGTCAGCTTGAGCTTAAGGGGTGAATCCTGATGACTTAAAGAAACCGCTGGCTGCAAAAATAATGAAAATGTGCAATTTCTGGCAACGATTACTATGCCAGTCACAGACTGAGTAACCGCTATTCTGTGCATCTTAATCCAGCTAGATTTATCTTGCTAAACCCTATCAATATTATACAAAGTGAACACCAGTATTAGGAGTTCAAGTAGCAGCCCCACTACTGTCTTAATTCTGATTTGAATTTCAGACTCTGTTGTGAAGGATCTGTGTTCATTTTCTTCTAAATTCCAGAGTAGCCATCTTGAAGCTCTAAAAACTCACAGAAAAAGAATGTATCCCCCCCCTAATATTATTCTCTTTTTTCAGGGTTCAGGGGATGTAAAGTACCACTTAGGAATGTATCACCGAAGGATTAACCGTGTCACTGACAGAACCATCACTCTTTCACTGGTTGCAAATCCTTCTCATTTGGAAGCTGCTGATCCTGTTGTTCAGGGCAAAACAAAGGCAGAACAATTTTACTGTGGGGACACTGAAGGAAAGAAAGTAAGCTGGCTCATATAAGACAGCATCTCCTTTGTGCTTTCCTTTGCTGTTTTGTACATGTGGGTGTCCAAGGGAAGAGATGCTTTTTCCGTTTTGTTTTTACAGTGACAATGTTGTGGGTCGCTTCCTTTTTCAGCCACTTTGACACCTAATGCTCCAAAGTTATTAACACATTTTTAATTTGTTCTGGTCTAAAAAGGTGATGTCAATCCTTTTGCATGGAGATGCTGCTTTTGCTGGTCAGGGAATCGTTTACGAGACTTTCCATTTGAGCGACCTGCCTTCCTATACAACATATGGGACAGTTCACGTGGTGGTGAACAATCAGGTAAAATATGTATTCTTTTGTTACCATATCAGATTCTCTTAAGTTAAATTTTACCAAGAACAAGCAACAGATAAGGAGCTGTTTTATCGTTTGCATTCTTAGTTGAACTTTAAAGGTAGTGTTTTGGTTAAGCTTATTTACTTTGAAGTGATTGAAGAGTTGATAGAGAATCAAAACTGAAGCAATCCCAACTCAGTTTTTAAACTTGTCAGATGAAGACTGATTTCCTGATGGTTAACCAAGAATTTGGAATGTCCCACGCACGTTTCTTGCTTTCTGATTGGACAGGGAAACTTAATACCAATGATTATGAAACTAAGGGATAGGTCTGTACATTACGCTGCTTTCATGAGCATCTGATGATATTGATGGCTAATAAAAACCTCTTGAAGGGAACAATTTCGTTTGTGGTCAGAGCAATTTGAGGAGATGGAACTTATGGAATTTGGACCCTACTACTGTATATACATTTAACAGCCACCCCTATCTGAAACTTAGATATGAAATAAAGGTCTTGTGTCTTGTATTGCAAAATTCTTATTATTCCTTTTCTTGTTTTTCCTTAGTGAGGCCCTGTTGTTATTTGCATGGGACATAACCTTTGCATGGTAGTTCTTGAGAAACTTCCCTTCAGTTCTATCTTGAAGCTCTATTTATATGAAGAGCCTTTTGGAGCAGAAAAGCAGTGGTCTTGGGCTTCTCTCTTTTAACCTACAGCTTCTCTGAATAGATTGTAGGAAAGAACAGCTTTAGGGTTTGAGGACATTCACGACTGTTTGAATCAGAATGAAGTTGCCCAAACAGACGTGTGAATACCAAATTGCTAGTCTCGGGAGACTACAAGCATAGAACTAGCAACAAATGAAACAAAAAAATAGAATACTGCTTGATTAGCATTGACTCACTAAAACAGAAAAGGATCCTGGATATTATTAGGAAAGAGATTATTGCTCAGAAGTACTTGACCTTAGCTTATTATCTTTTCAAAACGTTTGACTGGTTTGGACGTAACCGGAAGAACTGATAATACAACTGATGAACCGGGTATCTGCTAGAAATAAGCTTGTCACATCTAGCTATTCTGCAATGCACACCAATGTAATTAAGGCTACTTTAATATTTTTTTTTCCTTTTCCAGAAAGAATGGTTAACTTTTTTTTTTTTAGAATTGCCCGCAAAATTAGACTTTTCATAGAGTACATCTCTTGACTCCTATGACTCAGCCGAAGTGCTCTTTTAATCTTCTGACTATTCTTGGCAGATTCTATGGAGATTCTCAGTCATCCAGGTCATGGTTGCCCCAAAAGTGCTTTTTCAGGAGGCAACTGGACTTTCTTATTTTTCTTCAAAGACGTTTCGCTTCTCATCTAAGAAGATTCTTCAGCTGCAACTGGATGGTGGGGAATGGAAAGATTTACATTCCTTGCAGACTACAGGAACCATTTGCACTTCAGTTTAAGATGCAGACAACACAAACTCTTCCCCAACAGCCTGCCCCTGTCTTCAACAGTGAAGGGACACAAGGCAGAAAACATCCTGCAGACAAGAAGGCTCCACACACATTTGTACTACTCAGGTGACCCTGAGAACACAGGTAAACCTCCAAATGACCTCAATGACTCTCTAAAAGAATGCAAATGACCAGCTGTCTGCAAGGAATATAAATCCTTCCATTCCCCACCATCCAGTCAGAGCTGAAGAAGCTTCTTGGATGAGAAGCGAAACGTCTTCAAAGAAAAACAAGAAAGTCCATTTGCCTCCTGAAAAATACACCTTTGGGATTGGCAGAACCAAGATTGGAGAAATTATCTTTTCAAACCCATGCCTCATATTACAAACTTAGTATTTTTATATATACGCATCATCCTTAGGAAGGATTATTCCACAAAAGTCGTTTGGAAATACTTTTCTGACTCCTTCGATATTTAATTAACTTTTTCATTTATCATCTAAAGAATTTTGAGGTAGTGATGATGTATTAAGTCCTCATACGGTCTGTATTACCTTCATCGTTATTTTTTAAAAATGGCTTCTGTTGTCATCTCAGATTGGATTCACGACCGATCCTCGTATGGCCCGTTCTTCCCCATACCCAACAGATGTGGCTCGTGTGGTTAACGCACCCATTTTCCATGTCAATGCTGATGATCCAGAGGCTGTGGTGTATGTGTGCAATGTGGCAGCTGAATGGAGAAGTACTTTCCACAAAGATGTAGTTGTGGATCTGGTAGGTAGTACTGATCCTTCTGACATACTGATAAATTTAGTTGGGACTGTATAATAGGTTACTTAAGGAATTTCAAAAAAAAATTATGGTATACAGAATAACAGAATTGGAAGAGATTTTGGAGGTCTTCTTGCTCAAGCAGGAAACCCTATTACCATTTATACAAGCAGGAAACTCTATACCATAATGTAAATTATCATTTATACCCTATACATGCTGAAAATTTATAAGTAAATGATAATAAATGTTCCTTTGTTGTTTAACTTCTTTAATTGATGAAGGAATGTTTTGATTGATAAGTGATGAAAAACACGAATAACTCTGTGAATTTGTGTGCCTTGATAATATGTTGGCTAAAGATGGGAAATTACTGAAGAAAGTTTAACATGAGCAACTGCTAGCAGAAAGATGGTGGGTAATATTTTCCTAAAAGCAAAAAAAAAATAGTTAGATATGTACGGGCTTCTGTGGACTTTATTATATAGAAATGATGGCTGTCAAGAGGCATGTCAAGACAAATTGAATGTGCGTTGAATGGAGTGGAAATGGAGGAACTGAGAAATATCTGTGGCAAAACCAGAAGAGATAGACTCTAGAATAAATTATCTCTAAATGAATGCATCAGTTAAAAAGAAATAATGCTAAAATGGGTTAGTCACATAGAATTCATGAAGGTTAAGCTGCAGAACAAATATATAGTGGAAGAATTAATTGGTTGAGAGGAACGCTAAGAAAGTTGTGACTGGATGCAGATCATTAGATCCTCAAAAAGAAGTGATTAAGTTTAAAAAGCAAAAATCAGAATGTGAAATGGTATATCGACACGTTGAAAACAAGGATAGTTTAGAGCTGGAGCTTTGCATAAGTATTTATATAAGTCAATAAATAATAGCTTGCCCTACTCAGCCGTATCCACCACTCCTTTGAGGATCATTTTCGAAGGGCTTTGTGGAATGATGGAAAGAGAAGATTATGTAGAATGTAAAAAAATCCAGATTTTACTCTCTATTTCTGCTCATTTGCCGTCACTTTACACCCATGCTTGTCCTCAACCAAGCATTTCCTTCTCATTACTAAGCTTGAAAACTTTAATTTGGGAAGATGAATTGTTTAGGTCAAGAATAAATATACAGGATTGTTTTCCCTTTCAAACGTGCTAGGTGTGCTACAGGCGAAATGGGCACAATGAGATGGACGAGCCGATGTTCACTCAGCCATTGATGTACAAGCAGATCCGAAAACAGAAGGCCGTGCTACAGAAGTATGCTGAGACCCTGATTTCACAAGGAGTAGTAAATCAACCAGAATACGAGGTACTTTCATTTATGGCTTAACAATCGTTCTGTAGATCGGCCATGCTTCATCTCGATACTCCTCATCCCATCGTGGTACCAAGCATTTCATAATTTCAGAGGCTTTGGGCATTTTATAAATATTATAATACATGACACCATACAGGAACATTCAGACCACATCTGGGATTAGTCAAATAATCTCTCATTTTCCCATGGCAACTGATAACATTTCTCCGTTACTGTGTAGCTTATTGAAACTTGTTTAATCTGATACATGCAATTATGTATGGCATATATGAACTGGCTTGTTATACAATTGTCCCTTTCAGAGAACCAACTGTACTGGCTTTGAAAACAACTTTTCGTAAATAGGGACACGTTTGCCTCAGCAGAAGCTCTGGCTTTAGTATAGACAAAATAAAACCTGATACTCCCAGCCCAGTACATAAATTACAGTGATTTGCTACTACCAGTTTTGCTTGAGAAATGTGTTATAATGCTAAGAAGGTATTTGTTTAGACCAGACATGTCAAACACAAGGCCCGGGGGCCGGATGTGGGCCGCGAAGTGGTTTCATGTGGGCCGCAAAGCCATCCTGGAAACAGTGAGGGAACGGCCCCCTCTGCCTTGGCCCTGGCCCAGGCCGGCCGGGAGCCAATGTACAATTCTGTGGTGACCATCTATGCTGAAATGCATTCAGTCTTAGCTCCATAAGCCTCCCCCCTGCATGGTCTGAGAGGAACAGCGAGGCTGCTCCAGTGGACCATGTCTTGGCACTTGCCCTGGTCCCACCCCCTTCTGCAAGAGACCCTCAGATCTGTCCCACTCCTGCCCAGGCCCCCACAGGCACTCTTTGATGCGAATGATGTAGAGCTGGCCACGCCCACCCAGTAAGCCACACCCACTCCATCCATGCCCACCCAGTAGGCCGCACCCACCCTGGCTACACCCACCTGGCCCCCTGAGGGCAACCGCAATGCTGATGCGGCCCTCAATGAAATTGAGTTTAACACCCCTGGTTTAGACTGAAGTGTTGGTAATATTTGTTCTTGGGCTCACCTCTACATTCCTTTTGTCTTCCAGGAGGAAATTTCCAAGTATGACAAAATCTGTGAAGAGGCTCATGCAAGGTCCAAGGATGAAAAAATCCTTCATATCAAGCATTGGTTAGACTCTCCATGGCCTGGTAAGTTACTCTCTGCTTGCTAACGGCCATGGATTAAAAAAAAAAAAAAGTTCTTGGCCAATAGATTGCACTTGCAATTTCTGGCACAAGGATGAGTTGTCCTTGCCTAGAACTCTCAGTTCTGAAAATTCTGCACAAGGATCATAGGAGGTAGTCAGCATTATTAATCAACGAAATGTGCTTGCATTAAACTAAGAGGCACTTGAGGAAGAACTTCTGTTCTTCTCCTGGATGCTCTGGCAGGATGATCCAGCAGTTTAATTGGACCGGGTTTATTTGCCAGATACCTTCTCAGAAGAAATTGGGCAGTGAGGAACATCTTTTTAAAGGAACTGTTTTATCAGCTGGAGCTTGCTCCTCCTGTAAATGTCTTCCTTGCCTCTTTTTATGTCCTCTTCTTAAATGTTCAGGTTTCTTCACCCTGGATGGCCAACCTCGGAGCATGACCTGTCCTTCTACCGGCTTGACTGAAGAAGATTTGGGCCATATAGGAAAAGTGGCCAGCTCAGTTCCTGTTGAAAATTTTACCATTCATGGGGGTATGGTTTTCTATATCTTTTTCCCCTTGAATTTTACGTTTTAATGATTTCTGTAGAAGATGCAACGTCTTACTTGCATGGTGGGGTCTTTTGCAGAGCTTCCTTGAAGCCTCTCTTAAATAGATGTTCAGAATTCATGGAGCAATCAGTACTTTGCTTCTGTTTTGCATGTTCTAATGATATCTAACAGGATTCCATGCATTGTATATATCCTAGTACATTTGGGCCTACCTCATAGCCAATCCAAGCTGTCAGCAAATTAAGATGAAAATAGATTCTGCTTCAGAGCTTAATCGTTCAGTCTTAGTCTTTGTTCTTTTTCTACATTTGCTCTTAGTCTTTGCTCTTTTTCTACATGTTGGTGCTTGGATTTATAGCTGCCTTAAAACCTGAGCACCCTCCAGACATGTGCATTTCAGGTCCTAGAGTTCCACAGCCAGCATGGCTACTGCTGTGGATCCTGGAATTGTAGTACATACATCTGAAGGGTACTCCAGTTACGGAAGTGATCAGCAATGCCATATTCTTCACTGTGTGTGAAGAACAGACTTTCAGAGCATCTGTAAATGCATCTCTACACTTTGGGAAATGCTGCCATAAAGCAGATTGAAGATTATTATCTTTCTCTAAAGGTTTAAGCAGGATTCTAAAAACACGAGGAGAGATGGTTGCCAATAGGACTGTAGACTGGGCCTTAGCAGAGTATATGGCATTTGGCTCTCTTCTTAAAGAAGGAATCCATATTCGGCTGAGTGGACAAGATGTTGAAAGAGGAACATTCAGGTAAATTGTGTTGACTGTACATGGGTGGTCTTTCTTTAACCATTGCAGGACTTTGGTGAAAGTCCATAATATTTGGGGGCAAATGCAAAATGTCAAGATAGCATTATCCCCAGCTTAGGCCAGGGGATGTACCTTTGTATTTCTCTTCTGGGACCAAATCAAGCTGGTGCAAATGTCCTCCTATATAGGAAACAAAATTTGATGTAGGTATCTAGCAGATCTAAGAAGAGTAAACAAATTGGTCAGGAACATATCTTTGAAGAAACATGATGGGGTCTAAGTGGATATCAGTATCCAAATAAACCAAGGAAAGGAAAATGCAGAAGCGTCATTTTTTTTTCTTATTGCTTTAGGAATGACAAAAAGCTGCCAATAAGAATTCCAGTTACCAAACCTGCAAGAGTAAAGTGTATTTTGATCCAATATGCGTATACTTGGTATATAACCGAGTAATCATCTCAATCCTCACTGCAGACAAATGTGTTTGAGACCCAGCAGGGGACTTGAAATATGTTCCTAAGAAATTGGAGTAGAACTCTTTCTAGAGGATCAAGGGAATTGCATATTTAACTGAATACACTTGCATGCAGCTGGGATGAATCAGGCCCCTTTAGGATAGAAAATGATTGCACAGTGACGGTGGCTGGGCATTTTGTACTACATATTCTCTGTGCGTTGTGCTTGAGATTGTGGCATGGAAAACTATGCCTACATATTTAAACAATTCACCCCGCTCGATGGAATGATTATTTAGAGTCCAGATATGATGGCGTTTCACAAAGACCATCACTTTTTGTAGTTCATTTCCAGAGTTTCAGAAACGCAATAATTGGCCAAAACGTGGAGCAACCATCATAGGCCTGTGAGGGAAATTAATGCTACATTATCCGCATATGATAAATAACAGAATAACAGAGTTGGAAGGGACCTTGGAGGTCTTCTAGTCCAACCCCCTGCTCAAGCAGGAGACCCTATACCATTTCAGACCAGTGACTGTCCAGTCTCTTCTTAAAAACCTCCAGTAGAATTGAAATATGTTTCTTGGGTACTTTTCGTGAGTGATGAGAGAAGTCATTGATCATGGCAACTAGTGCATTAATATAATAATTAAACAACAATGGAGCAAGAATACAGTCTTGTCTGAATCCCCCATTAACAGGAGTCTCACTGGTATAGTGTTCTTTGGAGGTTTTATCTAACTTTTGTGGGGGTTTGATTATAGAGATTACAATATGATTACTAGTCACAGCCTTCTGTTTACAGAAGAGTTTTGCAATTTGCACTACAGATTGAGCCTAGAAATCAGATTCAAAGCTGCTTTGAAGTCTATAACAGCTGTATAGAGCAGGGGTCTTCAGACTTGGCCCTTTTATGACTTGTGGACTTCAACTCCCAGAATTCCTCAGCCAGGCACGTTTGAAGACCCCTGGTATAGAGTGAGGCCCATGGTTTGAAGGGGTACTTTTCAGCTAGGAATTTGAGTAAGTATTTTCACTTGTGTTTTTCTCCAGCCATCGGCACCATATCTTGCACGACCAGAATGTTGACAAGAGAACCTGTATTCCCATGAATCATCTGTGGCCAAATCAAGCTCCTTATACCGTCTGCAATAGTTCTCTCTCAGAATATGGAGTCCTTGGTATGTCCTTTCCTTACTAAAACATAAAGGAGTCGTGTAAACTGTTGATTTTTAAGTCTGTCCCTCACTGATAATCTTCCTTCCCAAAAACAAGCTTTCCATTTCTATCAATGCAGGATTTGAGCTCGGCTTTGCTATGGCTAGTCCCAATGCTTTGGTGGTTTGGGAAGCTCAGTTTGGCGACTTCCACAATACAGCTCAGTGTATAATCGACCAGTTCATCTGCTCTGGGCAGGCCAAGTGGGTGAGGCAGAACGGCATTGTACTTCTTCTTCCCCATGGCATGGAGGGCATGGTAAGGAAAGCACGTGTGTTGTTTTCTAAAAGGTCTCCTTTTAGCTGCCTTATAGGTGGATTTAGACTTAATATCTATATTTAGACTGTGTTAAATTAGATCCTCCATATCGATCATTTCCCTGCATTGAAAAGTCTTGCGTAGGTTGAGGTATTCAAATGCATTAAAGGTTGTGTCTGTATAACGAAGTTGAAAATGAGAAGCAATATTAACTTTTGTTCCAATATCATGTTCTAACGCAGTGTTTCTCAACCTTGACCATTTTAAGGCATGTGGACTTCAACTCCCAGAATTCCACAGCCAGCATTGCTGACTGTGGAATTCTGGGAGTTGAAGTCCACATAGCTTAAAATGGTCAAGGTTGAGAAACACTGTAATCTAACAGAACATTGGGAAAATGCCTACTAGTGTATATTAGAATTTGGGGTTTTGGATTTGGCTTTATTTCTTTATTATTATTTTTACATCTACTTTTTCTCTGAGTATCTCTAGGCATCATACCTTTGCTGATTCCTCATTTACACTGCAGCAGTGTAGAGCAAGCTAAGGGGAAATAGCGGGTCCAAAGTCACCCACCTAATTCCATTATCAAGAGAGGACGTGAACATGATTCTCCCTGCTTCCTATCCACTTACTTTAACCCTTGTTCTACAGTATAGCAACTCTCTTTCTAGAAGAAATGTTCAGTTTTGCCTCCGTGGCCTGTTTAGCCAAGGAAAAGCCATTACTCAAGAAAGTCTCCCATATCTGTTTGCAGGGCCCTGAGCATTCTTCTGCTCGACCAGAACGATTCTTACAAATGTGCAATGACGATCCAGATGTCTTCCCGGTGAGTTGACTGTGAGTCCACGTGGGCCACCCTTTTGTTCTGTCCACCTGTCCCTTGGCCACAGTTCTAAGAAGGCCGAGAAGAATTTCTGGCAAGATCCGCCCAGGATCAGCTTGTTGTAAACCGAACGGCTCGTCCACGTGTCCCTGGACGCTCCGTAATCACCTCGGTGCTTTACTTCAGGGCAGGCAATCTGAGATAGCAATACTAGAGAGGCCTCCAATCCAATCTCCAACCTCTTTCAAAGTGTCACGGATTTTGCTCGCAGTTTGAGACGGGCAATACAAGAATTTATTTATTTATTTATTTATTTATTTATTTATTTATTTATTTATTTATTTATTTATT